GAGAGAGAGAGAGAGAGAGAGAGAGAGAGAGAGAGAGAGAGAGAAGGAGAGAGAGAGAGAGGGGGAGAGAGAAAAAAAGAAAGCGAAAGAAAGAGAAATAGGGGAGAAAAAAATAAAGAATGGAAGCCAGCGGTTCCAAATTCCAAATCGAGCTTATGTGTGTATATATGTATAGTAATTAATGCATCCGATAATTAATAATTTGTACGTTAATAATCCTTACCCACAATCTTCCGCATTCATCCCACGCTATACATTGATTTTCTACAGTAATAATACATTCGGCGAGCATAGCAATGAATTGTTAGTGAACTGCGCATATTTAATAACATTTTATTGTAATGGCCGGCGTCGGGAGTACTATAGTATAGGTGCGATCGTGCGGTGTGCAAACGAAGGCAGGGGCGGATCCAGAGGGTTTGGGTGACCAGTTTCCATAGTTCTAGTCACAGCTAGGGGGGTCCGGGGGCATGCCCCCCGGGAATTAAAAAAAAAATTAGGCTATATTTGGTGCATGCTGGTGAATTTTGAGGGTCAATTCTGAAGATACCCAGCCTGTGACCGGTTTCTGGAAACCGGTGCAAACCGGCCTAAATCCGCGCCTGGAAGTTGCGTGTGTCACACAGATGGCACCAGCCTGACTAAAACCAACATGGCCGCGCCGCTATCCGTGTTCTGCCGTGATGCCGACGTTCGCAAATAGCGGATATTTGACTAGCAGACGTGCGCAATGGTAGAGTAACGCTGGCCGCCAGATATGGCGACTCGGAGCATAGTGTAAATATACTTTGCCCTACCTTTGGACCGCGAGCGAAGCTAAACTGTAGTATCTCGTGCATATTGCAGCCGGTGTGCGCAAATATTTTGCCGGCGAATCAACAGTGAGTGGCACAAACAAGTGCGATAGTGCGCGCTGTATGTATTCAGAGTGTTAGGAGCAAGATGGTGTGAAAATTCAAATTCACTAGAGTTTTCATAGTTTCAACTTCAACTACAACTTCATCTTCAACTTCAATTTCAATTTTCGTTCATTTAACTTTATGAGAAAGCCGCAACAATAAGATTAAGTTGAAGCTGGTTTAGTATAATTTAAAATATTGCCAGCATATATATCGTCATTAGCTTAGCTGAAAGCTCGAGTGACTAAAACATATAAACAAGACAAATAATAATAGCGAGAGCGAGAACAAAAGTGAGCAGAAGACGACCGTAGAGAGAGAAAGGACATAGGCAGCAGATGCAGGGAGTTATAGAATTAGAAGGTTGTGGCAACATGTCTGATAAATGAGATTAAATGGAGAGTGGGAAAAAGGAAGACAAGTGGGCAGGCAGAGAGATAGCGCGTAAAGAGGAAGAGATGAGAGTGGAGAGATGGGTTGGAAGAAAATGATGAGGGATACGCGAAACAACAACTATAATTCAATTATCGGAGATATACAATGTTGTATAGAGATGACTGAGTCATGTTATATAAACACACACCTATTTCTTAACCAACAAACTTTTACCGTTACACATACGGTTAGTTGCTGGTCACGTAATCATAAATTACCTCACATATTTAATATTTTCGCTATCGCCGTGAACCATGCCGCGATATCTCCCGCTAAAATTCCGATTATATAACTATGAGAAGGTATAACGCTCACGTAGCCTTAATAACCACATAATGGCCGCATGGACGAGAAAGTTGCATAAAGCACCCAGTTTCATTTTAGTACGACATGCACGAAAGCGCGTGAGCTGTTATTACAAGAAATTGACTAGCTATCGTTGGCGCACTCGGTACAAAGTCCGAGTCATAGTTTACAAACAGCAAATCGAAGAAAAAGAATCGACATATCTAATCAGTAAATTAATCATTTTGATTATGTTTAACGCGCATTGAACTACCGTGGAGATCGAAAAAATTCACTTTTTATTTGGCTGTGCGACTGTAAAGTTGCTCTAACCAGCGCGCCGCGCACATTGTCTTATTATACGGCTGTCTATCTACCAATATTACAGCTTATTCGCGCATTACGGGATCTTATACACCCCAAGATGAATTCATTTTTATTCAAGGTATTACATCTTGGTTTGTTAATCAGTCCATAGACTCCTAGCTTTTTAGTTACAGAGCGTGAACGGAAGGCGCCGCAGGCCGGTGCTTTCGCCACGATCGACTTATGACCACTGCCCCGATTCGCGTTTCTGTCACAGTCGTGAGTCGCCGTCACAGTAATCGTCATGAAGAAGGCGGACGCGGCGGCCTAACGTAGAAAAGTCGAAGCAACACTTACCTTGTGCGTGTACGGTTGTCTGTATAATCACTCCACACGTTATTATAAAAGCGAGTATGTGAAATATCGTGGTACACGAAGGCGGCCCCATCGTGTCGCCCTAGTACATTTCGAAAACTGACTACTGCTGCGTGTAGGAGAGACGCCGGCCAAAGTACGCCAACGTCGAAACCCACGCCCTCGCTAGGCGCATGCGCAGCTCCGCCACACGTGGTTTATCATGTCGCTGAGTTATCGATAAGAACACTCATGTGTGTAAACAGCATTACACACATACCTAACAGCAACAACATCGGTGCATGGTGCAGTAACAGTATTCAATGCTCATAGATTCATAATATTCAGTACACCTAGCGATAAAAAATTTGCGTTAAATTCCGAGCCCAATGCCTTAACTCTAACTGTGAAGCGGCAGATCTGGTAGTTATAGATCTGGATCTTATAACTCCAGGGGTAGTTATATGGTGGGATAGATTATATGGTCAGATCTGCCTATGAACATATGGCCATATATTTATAATAGAGCGGATACACTTAGGAGTAGTTTTACACAGAATCGGACTTTCTAGTCTCTCTTAGTTAATAAATCCAATTTCTTCAACATCTCCATTCCCCGCAATGTCGTGTGAAATAATTTGCACATTTTTGCCGTTGGTTGGCGCTAGTGTCTCACATTAGAACCAGCATATGATGCCAAATGAAACAGGTGCACACCCCCCCCCCCTCCTCCAAACAAATTGAGAGATGCTTGCAAGAACCGTGAATCGGAGACAAAGAAACTTTTCGAGGGGGAGATAACCGGATTACCTGAGTGCTTCATCAAAAAGGATGGATCCCCTTATCACAGTTCAAAGTCACAGATTTTGGCTGACATCACCGAAAACGCGGTTACACCAAGTCCAACAAATGTCAAAGGTCTCGTTGCTGACCTTTCAGTGATCATCCGAGCGCAGGCTGCAGTCCTTCCAGAGGGGTCAACCTTCAATGAATTTGTCTCCAGGGTCCTGCAGAGCATTGAGAACACTGCCACACGCCTGGGCGCGTCTCGAATCAATATTGTAGCAGACCAGTATAACCCGTTAAGCATCAAGAGCCCCACCCGCTCGGAAAGGAAGTACAAAGGTTCAGGACAGCAAGTTAATTTTACTGGTGATAGCACTGTCCCGAAGGATATGTCCAAATCCTTTCTTAATGCACTAATTGCGGAAAGCTGTGGTAACCCATCCTCCTGGTCCTGGAAGAAAGATTTCTGTGTCACTAATGGTCTTGGAAATGTTCTAACAAATGCTGGTGAAAGGACTATATACATGCCAAAGATGGAAACCCTAGAAGAAGCGGACAACAGGATGGTGTGCCATGTAATTGACATGTTGGCATGTGGTTTATCGCGATTGACTGTACGGACAGTTGATTCGAACGTCATTGTCATTCTTCTCGCCTTTATGCCCCAGTTCCTCAAGATCGACCCTGACTTTGAGCTTCATGTTGATTTTAACCCTGGAAAGAACAGGAAGAACATTCATGTCAATGTTTGTTATGAGTCACTAGGGGAGGACGTCTGCTTAGCCTTGCCATTCTTCCAATGCTTCACTGGCGCCGATTCGAACTGCTCTTTCTACAAGCTGACCAAGAAGATGTGGGTTTCTCAATGGAATAAGTGCTCGATGAGGGATGAACTGACAGAGGCAGTTAAACAACTAAGCTGGTACCCAGCATAACAAGTAATCCTCAGCACAGAAAAGATACTTGTGGATTTTGTGTGCTATGTATACTCAAAGAGGGCTGTGTACCAAGATCTCAATATCTCAAAGAGATTGTGAACTGCGGTTCTCAATGTTCCAGTCCGCAGGTTCTTGGTCAGCTTGTAGAAAGAGCAGTTCG